TCTCTCTCTCTTTCTCTCTCTCTCTCCGAGGTTGTGAAGAGGAGAGAAACCGTCGGGAGAGGTTCTGATTGAAGTGTATGGCGATGTTTCTCTCTCTCTCTCTCTCTCTGAGGTTGTGAGGAGGAAAAAAAGCGGCGGTGTTTGAGAGCAAAGGGAACAAGGTGAGGGATCTCTTTCTTTCTCTCTCTCTCTCGGGTTGTGACGAGGGAAGGAAGTGTCCCGCAAGCCTCTGAGCGGGAAAGAAGGTGTGAAGTATCGAAGTGTTGGACAGGCGGTGTCATCGGTCACAAACTCTTCGAGACGACATGGCTGAGCAAGGTGCGTTTCTCTGTGTGTGTGTGTGTGTGTGTGTGTGTGTGTGTGTGTGTGTGTGTGTGTGTGTGTGTGTGTCTCCAAGGCTGTCGATGAGCAAAACCGATGGAATTTTCAACCACCATCGAAAGGATGACCAATATCGATCGGATTTTCTGCCACAATGTCGAAATATTGACTGCCACGCCGGTGTGTGTGTGTGCGAGCGTGTGTGTGTGTGTGTGTGTGTGTGTGTGTGTGTGTGCGTTGTCATATTCGCTATTAACCAACGTCGACCAGAGTTGGCGATACCCGCCTGAGAGAAAAAAGTTGTCGACTTAAATCACACCGACCCTTATTGTAGCCCCCCTCTGATTCCACCAGGAGTTGAATTTTCAACTCGTGACCAGTTTGTTAACGATTACCATCGCACTACATGGGCTCGGTCATCTGTTCGAAATTTGAATCATCAACCCACGAAGTGACAACTAGCAACTCGCTGGAGAGAGAGAGAGAGAGAGTAACGTTTAGACAGAATACGACGACAGGTAAGTCTCCAAGACCTCAGGCGGCCTTGCACAACAACCATCGAAAGGACGAGAGAAATGACTGTAAGAAAAGGCGAAAAAAAAAATAGGAAGAATACAAAAGCAACTCCATAGAAATAAGTATGGCGAAAAGGGAAAAAAAAAGGGAGAAAATCGAGGGGGAAAAAACGACGGAAGTTGATCACTGCTGGCCCTGCAGAACTTGCATACAAAGCATCAACACAATTGAGTGTGTATGTGTGTGTGTGTGTGTGAATCCACAAAAAACGAAGACCTCCTAAATTCTAACGATGAATCAACTGAATGGAAAAGGGATGGCTGACTTTCTATACATGATGCTCTTGCTTATGCTTGCCGCTCTCCCACACACCACTGCCACCACCATTTTTGTCAAACAGGAATATGTTCAACAAGCACGAAACAATCCTTCTTCCTAGACCACCTCTCTTTGATCACTTTTAATGCATACCTCGAGTGATGCATGTCTTCACCTCTCCTCCCTCCTCTCCCTCCTCTCCCTCCTCTCCCTTCTCTACCTCCCCTCCCTCCCCTCCTTCATTGCCTTCTGTGATCTCTCTCCCTTCTCTCGCTCGCTCACTCCTTATACCTCGCTTAGCCACTCACAAATTCACTCACTCTGTCGCTTACTCATCTCAAATCGATCCAATCAATCACCCACCAATCCGTAAACCAATCAATCACGTAAACCAATCAATCATTAAAGGGAGGGCACGGAGCAATCATTCTAAGTTTTGACAGTGCTGTATCCGACATGGCTCTAGCTTCATCTTGACCAATCAAGCTGAGGGAATGCTTCGCTGTGCATGCTTCCTCTTCACAGCAAGTCGCCACTCCGCTATGCAGCAAGACAACTTATAAGTCATAAAAATATTTGTCTTTTCCAATGCTTCGTCTTCACATCCCCGGAAGGTCTCCATGAACCATTACCAACCTTCAACGCCAACATCTTCGCCACCTGCTTCATCCACCTGTTCAAAAAACTTGAGACTGCTAACTGCTCCATGGACTTGAGAAGAAAGCATCGCCCTCAAAGATTTGAGAATAGACTTTCGACAAACTACTGGACAGCCGCTCCCCCAAAGATTTGTTCAAGAGAGAGAGAGACAGAGATAGAGAGAGAGAGAGAGAGAATGTGTGTCGTCCTGTTGGCGGTACACAAATCCACAAAAAAAGAAAGGGTGTGTGTGTGCGTGTGTATGCGTGTATGTGTGTGTTTGAGAGAGAGAGAGAGAGAGAGAGAGAGAGAGAGAGAGAGAGAGAGAATGTGTGTTGTCCTGTTGGCGGTACTCAAATCCACAAAAAAAGAAACGGTGTGTGTGTGCGTGTGTATGCGTGTATGTGTGTTTGAGAGAGAGAGAGAGAGAGAGAAAGAGATTCTTTGTGGGACGTGCAGAAGGGCTGACGAAGAGAGCTCGTTCATATCCGTTGTTTCGTGTTTGAATGGCATGCAGAAATCCATCCACATTCGCGGTTCATGTGGCCCATTTGTATGTGGGAGAGAGAGAGAGAGATATTTTTTACTATAATGTCATAATATTCAGTGTTGTATGTGTGTGTGTGTGTGTGTGTGTGTGTGTGTGTGTGTATGTCAACCATGATCTAAAGGAGGATATGTCTATAGGCCACGCTATACATGTGTGTGTGTGTGTGTGTCTGAGAGAGAGAGAGAGAGAGAGAGAGAGAGAGAGTAACGTTTAATCGGGATCCAAAGGGCGATTACACGTGTGTGTGTGTGTGTGTGTATGTGTGTGTGCGTGTGTGTGTGTCTCTATGTGTGTGTATGTGTGTGTATGTGTGTGTATGTGTGTATGTGACACACACACACACACACACACACACACACACACACACACAGAGAGAGAGAGAGAGAGAGAGAGAGAGAGAGAGAGAGAGAGAAAAAAAGAGAAAGAGAGTACGACAACAGATAAGTTTCCAAGCGCGTAGCTGGCGTTGCGCAACCGCCGCTGAAAGATAGCATAATAAAAAACGGAAAAAAATTCGATGAAAAAAATAAAGGAGAGAGAGAGAGAGAGAGAGAGAGAGAGAGAGAGAGAGAGAGAGAGAGAGTACGACAACAGATAAGTTCGCAAACGTGAAATTCAGACAGGAAATCACACCCCGATTCATTGCAAACCTTATCGCTATTCCTTCATTGAACGCAAGAAGGCTCTCGAACGAATTCGGGAGTTCGAAGCCAGTGGTTGGATTGAACCCGCTACTGGACCTTGGTCCTTTCCTGTAGTGTTAGTACCAAAGAAGAACGGAGCAATTCGCATGTGCATTGATTATCGCAAGCTGAATGAAATCACGATCAAAGATGTGTATCCCCTCCCCAAGATTGATGATCTGTTGGATGCGATTGGATGCGCTAATTATTTCAGCAAGTTTGATATTCGGCACGGCTTCCATCATATTCTGGTAAGGGAAGAAGATCGGTCGAAAACGGCCTTTGTGTTGTTTGAGGGTACGTGGCAGTGGGTTCGGTGTCCGATGGGGATTTGCAATGCGCCTGCCACGTTTCAGCGAGCGATGAACACGACGTTCAAGAACTTTGTCAACAAGACACGGCTGACGCAAGGGTTGATTAACTTCTGCGTGATCATGTACATGGACGACATCCTGGTCTATTCGGAAACCTCTCACGAACACGCGCAACACATCGAATGGACATTGGGTGCACTGAGAGACGCTGGGTTCAAGATTGCGCTTGAGAAGAGCGAATTTTTCCTCTCGGAAATTTCGTTCTTGGGCTATGTCGTGACACGTGGAGGATTGCGGCCAGATTCGAGAAAAGTCGCGGCGGTGAAGGAAGTTCCGGTTCCTACGTCACTGACGCAGGTTCGAGCCTTCTTGGGACCAGCGTCGTACTACCGGCGCTTCATCAAGGGCTTTGCCGCGATTGCACGACCACTAACGAACCTGTTACGGAAGGACCAACCTCTCAGCTGGGACGCGGAGTGCCAACAGGCCTTTGCAACCCTCAAGGACGCTCTGGCAACGGCCCCTATTTTGATTGGACCGGACCCCTCGAAGCAGTTCATTCTCATCACGGACTGGCAACCAGAAGCTATTTCCGCTATTCTAGCGCAGAAGGGGAACGATGGTCGCGAACACGTCATCGAGTGCGCGTTACGAACGGTACCGGACGAACGAAGAAACGACTCCGCACCTCAGGGTGAGTGTTATGCAATAGTTTGGGGAATCCAACACTTCCATCCGTATCTTTACGGACAAAAGTTTCGCCTCGTAACGGATCACGAGCCTCTGCTGGCGCTGAAGAAACTCACCAACTACACGGGCATGATTGGTCGTTGGGCGGTGCGACTACAAGAATACGACTTCGATATCGTCCATCGAAAGACAGAGCGACACGATAACGCAGACGGGCTGACACGTCTGCATCAACTTGCCAAGGTACCAAAGGGCGAGGAAATTACACCGTGGAAGGAGCCGGACCTGACTAATGAGCCGAAGTACGGACAAGTGGCAGTTCTCCCACGTGGCAAGACGCAAAACAGTGGCGATGGGTGATGGAGGTAACCCCACTACCCCTCTCTCTCCCCCTTCCTCTTCGTCTCTCCTCTCCGTGCCTGACAAATTTTGCTATTTTTGCAAAGCCATCTCCCGCGTCTATTCGGTCTCCATGCGTCCTAACGGGGAGGGGTATGTCGATTGGATAGATTGTCGACAGTGCGTCGCACGAGCCCATGGCTCGTGCATCCAATACAGAAACGATGGTAAACCGTGGTTGTGCCCCTTGTGCCGGACCGACAAGATTCCAACCGAGGCTCGCTTTTTGGATGCCACGTCAGAAGGATTGGAAAAGACCCGAAAGTTTAGAAGGGCCGAAGTATGGACGGATATTGCCTTAATTGCCACCCTAGTAGGTAACCCCCTCCAGGATTTCACCAAGGAAGATCGGAGGAGGGCCAACGAAAGGGCTCGGGACTATCGATGGGTAGAAGGTAGATTAGAAAAACGAAAAACGGACGGCGGTGGGATTTGGATGGTTGTGCCGTATCCATTCATGCGGTATGACTGGGTTAAGACGGCGCACGAGGAAACTGCGGCTCATTTTGCTGTACGAATCACGGAGTCCGCTATCGACAAAAATGAGTGGTACTGGTCCAATATCCGCGACGATGTGAAGTACATCGTCACCACCTGTCAAGTCTGCGCCGCTGATAAAGCGCCGATTCAGCCGCCAAGGTCGATAGTGCCCACGATTGTTGAACGACCATTTCAGAGAGTAAGCATGGACACTACCGACATAGTGGTGCCCCCTGGCCCTAATAGTTGCGAATATTCAGTCCTACTGGTATTTGTCGACCATTTCTCGAAATGGATCGAAGCGTATCCTTGTCGCACGCGGCAAGCCACGTAAATCGCGCGATATGTCAACCGTTTCCTCGGGATGCATCAGGATACCGAAGAGATCCTGACCGACAACGGGGTTGAATTCAGGGGAGAGGTGTTAAGGAATCTGGTCCTACATGGCGTCACCATACGGAACACGGCACCCCACATGTCCCAATCTAACGGGTTGGTCGAAAACGCTAACCGGGTGATAAAGACAGCGTTGCGACGAAACATCGCGGCACGGGATCCGAGACCCTGGCCCGATATCGTCAATCACATCCTGGCGGTCCATCGCGGAACGCCCCACGAATCGACGGGGCTGAGCTCCTTCCGATTAAGGACCAATAGTGTCGCTTGCGTTTCGATACCAAGCCTCCCGGATGAGACTACATTGAACCGACGACCCACCAGGGCCACGGCTCGGGACAAGGCCAAACGGCACCTAGAGTTAATGGAACGGTTGCTTCCCAGGCTAGCCCAAAAGCGACAGAAAATTACCGAACTAGCCCAGGGCCGACAGGTCCGGAGCTACGAGGCCCGAAATGGGAATGCGGGTCCGCGGCCCCAGTACAAATTGGGGGACGTGGTGCAGGTGAGGAAATGTGCTCGCCAGGGTAAGCTAGCGCCATGATTCTTCGGGCGATATCGCGTGATCGAGCTCGGCCCCAACGGCGTGGACACCGTGCGTCTCGCCCCTGAAGTCTCTGGCAGTCGATCGGCTCGTCCGATCACACTCCACGTGTCCTATCTTCGCCTCCTCCCCTCTCCTCCGTCTTCTTCTCCATCGATCTCTCATTCTGAGGAAGCCGAAGACGACGACTCTGACTCTCCGTCATCTCCCTCTTCCTCTTGCTCCCCATCTGCCTCCCCGTCACCTTCGCCATCGCCATGAGTTTTATGGAGGAAAGAGCCCTCAACGCAACATCGCTCGCTCCCTGTGATTGTTTGACGATCCGGCAAGTCCATCATCCCCGCCTCAGTCCAGACCTTCGGAGGCTTGCACACTTCTTCTGCACGGAAGGCGTGTATGCAGCGGCGGTATTCAGAATCGAAGGTCGGCCTGACGCGGTGGTACTGGCCGAGGCGGTAGCAGTTCATCAGCGGGCGGTGCCAGGTGTCAGTCGCATATCGGTCGTCATCAACTTCAGTGGCGATCTCTCCACACTTCTTCCTTTGCGACATTTGGCGGTGAAGGTGTCGCTGCGCGCTTGGGCGAACGATCTGGTCGCCGAGTGGACTCAGCTGCTAGCTCGTCCTGGAGATACAGTCGCAACGACACGAGCGATCGAGTACGACGGCCTTCGGATGTACCAGCGTGAGCCGCCAGCAAACATCCCTATCCTCGTTCCCTTCCCACATCCCCAATGAGTCTTTCTCTGATCTCCGTTTTTGATCTCCACTCCACCTTCCCCACCTTCTGGCAGTCTGATATCCATCCTCGCCTTTCCTACTGTCTAAAGCCCCTCGCTGTCCCCGATATCCATCCTCCCCATTGGGTCCTGTGGCGCGAAGACTTCATCGAGCTTTCGCTGTGTCTGGTGGAAGTACGGCGGACGTGGATCGAAGACGAAGCGCACCCGCCTTGCAAAGAGCGCCTGGAGTTGCTGTTCATCCAGGCCTCGCGAACCAATGTGGAGGGAGAGCTTCTCGCGTTTCTATTCGGTACGGTGCGGCCCGGCCATCAGGATCTCATCACGAAAGAGCTTACGATCCCGGTAACACAGCTGGCGGACGATCTCCCTCTTTACATCATCTGGCAAGACGACGAGCATCCAGTTCCCCATGTACTTTCGCGCATGTTGACACCTTATCTTCAGTGGTCGGCTTGCGTAGAAGGAGCCGCAGAGCGCATCCCGTCGTCGCAGCAACAATACCTGGATCCCCGGACGGCTCACGATCCTGCCTTCTTCAGGCATCTTACGTCTGAGCAGCTTGCGGTCATTCGAGAAGAGGAGGAAGAGGAAGAGAGTACCGGGAGTGACGAAGACGACGACGGACTGGAAGAAGGCGGGAACAGCGACGAAGAGCTCGGGGAAGAAGACGAAACCCCGAAAGAAGGAAGCTATAGCGAGCATAGCGAGGGGGAACAGAGTGAAGAAGAAGAAAGCGAGGAAGGAGAAGAGGAGCACGACGAAGAGCCTGCTGGATCAGAGTGGGAAGTCGTGCCAGAAGAAGCGCTGCGTACGGGTACGGAGGCTGAGGATCCCGAGGCGGCCCGCAAAAGAGAAGAGATCGTGGTCGGGAAGAAGGAGTTGGAATTCGCAAGCGCGGCGAGTCTGCGCACCCTCGACGACCCAAGCCGGGATCCGGAGCCGCCCCGGCCTGAAGATGGCGACCTTACAGCCACAACTCCGACCCCATCAGCGCGGCGACGGAGCCGATCCCCCTCCTCCTCAACCCGTCCCCCAGTTCGCCGACGTACCGATACGGGCGATCGGTCTTCGTCCCCGATCACTCTCTCATCGTCCCCTTGACTACCTCACCCTCCGCCAGCTCACCACCCCCATCACGTTCCCCTCCAATCCGTTTCCCTGCGACACCTTCCGCCACTTCTACGCTGCTCGCCTCGCTATAGTGGTGCACCCCCACCCCTCCATTCGATGCGCCATCCCAGCCTTCTGCCTCCATGTCCTGCTCCTCAGTGCCGCGTGGCGAGGCCACAACATGATCGAGGTTTACTGTGTGGTAACGAGGACCATCCCTGCATGCGATGATCGCGATCGTTTCCACGCGGCACTCTTCCGGACTCTTACTATCCTCTATCCCGACTATCTCGCGTCCCTCCCTCGCACTGGCAATCGCTTCCCCCGCTTTCACCGCATTGTTCGTTACCAAGAGCTCCCGGAGACTGTAGCCGGAATGGAAAGTCTCCTGCCCCCATTACCTATAAACCCTCCACCCCGCCATGCCACCATGCAACGGCTCCCTTTTCCCCTCCCCGGTTAATTACTGATGCAGCAGGAAATGGATGCGTGTCGCGGCGACGACACGAGAAAGATCCCGTCCTGGAATCATCGAGGAGCCCAATCTGAGGAACTAGTTGATGTTGCAGAACCACCATAGAAAGGACGATGAAAATCGAGTGTTCAGTACTACATGTGTCGCCAATAATAAAATCAAAAATGAAAAAAAAAAACGGGGCAAAAAAAAAAGGGGGATGATATGCAATCGGCCCGGCGTTGCAAAACGTCTATCAATCCACAATATTCTATCTACACGTCACAACGTCACACTTGGCAATACATCGACGATCTCATCCGTATCTACTATGATTGTGATAGACCTGCAAAGCTTCCATACGTGATGTATCGGCACACGGTTGTGCAGCAAGCTGTTCAAGCGCTCGAAGCCGAAGAATGGATGGGACGACACGTGTGACACTTTCTGCGGTACACACCGGATATTCCATAGACATGAATATAAAGTTCCCGCCAGGATGAGATGTGCTGCATGACGAAGCCAGTGTATTACCTCGGATGTTTCAACTTTTCGACTGCATTGCCATCACCTTTTCATTTGCCAAGAGAAAAACAACCTGCGCTGCCAAATTTTCGGCTCTGTTGCTGTGAATTTTCCGAATCTGTGTTGTTTTTCTGCTACTTCTAAATAAATACGGACAACTCCTTTGGCCTGTGCATTCGCGTTCAGAATTTTAATTTTATCGAGTCTTTGCATACTTCCTTTCCTGTCACATCTTCGTGTGAAGCACTGCTGCCTCCATCCACCGCCTCTCCTCGCCGCGACGCTGCGGCGGGCCCACTTGTGTTTTTAATGATAGTATGTTCTTCAATAGGCGTTTATGTGTGATCCTGGTATAAGCTTTCTTATGTGAGCATTTTACGTCATCGGTAGTTTTCATAACAGACATGGTGGGGGAAGCGTATAGCTGCTCCGTTGGACCTCAAAATTCTGAATATGGAGGACAGTCATCTGGATGGTTGTGGTGACCAAGTATCATACTGGAGCGTCTCTGGAAGGGCATACTATCATTGAAAACATCCTCAAACCAACGGAACCTCACTGAGATAGGCTCGTTGGTGGGAAACAACCATTTTGGTCCAATTCAGTGAGCCTTTCCACGGTGCCTTCACTCATTACCTCGAAATATACCCAAGCCTATAACAATGCCCTAGTCTTTATAGACCCCCCTACGTGCTTGCTAGCGTGCCTCTCCCAAGCAATTTCTGTTAAGCCCTCTACCGCTCATCTTCCTCGGCCGACACGCCACTCCCCTAACCATGTTGCACCTACGTTGGTCATTTCATCAACCTAACAACACGAACCAAACTACTGTATGCTAACACCAATTGTCCTACCTAAATCGAGATGTACCACGTATTCCTCTAGAGCAGCGGCATACTTCTGCAGTAAGATTTCAAAGGAGAGTTGTGAATAACTACTGGCCTCTTTTCGAATGCTCAGAACCCCTAGGCCCCCAAACAAGACTCGATTTCATAAGGAAGTGGTCTGGGGTACTCCTCCTCCTCGTCCGAGCACAAGACTCGGATTTCAGAAGTCGGACCGTCTCCACCGAATCGGCATGTACCCCCCAGTAGAATGGTCCACTCTAGGTCGATAATAGTGTCGGCTCCTAAAGCAACGAACCCCCGATCTAGATGCTTCCTTGATAGTGAAAGTGGCCACTACAAGTAAAATTTTAGTCGTTCTCATTCTCCCTTACCCAAGGTAATTTATACGAAAAGAGTTAGAAGAGATAGAGAATGAGAACCGGATAGAAACAATCAATCCTCAGGAAAATACTAAATCCATTTAATATTGTTTTCTTTCTTCAAACAAATTTTTTTTACGACATACATTTGGATTAACTATTTTCGTAATACGGGTCCTTTTGACAAACAGGTAGGTCGTGGGTAGAAAAAAAACATATCTCTTTACCAACCCTAAGTAGTCACAATCAATTTTCTTATTGCAAGTATCCTTCTATCTACCTACACACTAAACAACATCCACAAGTTCAGAAAATTCGGCAATCTATACTCCCGTCAGATCCTACTTTTCACATGCATGACCACACACGTTTTACTCAACCTTTTCTTTTCAACATTCAACACAAACACGGTCATGTGAAGTGTGGGTTCACAGAGGTGTGAAAAGGAAACCGATCACTCAACTGGCCTTACGTGAAGTGGTCCCGAACATACCCTGGCTCACTCAAGAAAGCCAAGTAAAAATATACTGCCAAGTAAAAATATACTCGTCACTGAAGAAAATATTGCAACCCTGACGTAAGTCTCGGGCCGGCCAATAGCCTCAATTCACCCTCCACTCGCACATCTCACACACAGTAGCGCCAAGTGTGAAAACAGTGAGCCACACACGCTAAAAAAAACAATCAACGGGTCCTACGGCAGTCCCAACTAGTCCCACGCAGCTCCACACTGCTGCCCTCCGCACCGGATGGCCCCAACTGCTGAAACTTCCTACGCCACTCACTCCAAAAAAATAAAAGCGGCCCCGAATGTTAATATTATAAGTGTCGAGTATTGCACAGTCAAAAAACTATCGTCACTCCACCCGCACATGCTCAAACAAGTTTTGTCGTTTGCATGCCACTGTCGAGCGCATCGGTCCGGCACCACATGTGGCAGCGCGGGACCCTCTCGGCCGCGTCACATAGGAGTTGGACCAACCTTCCCGCGAACACACAAATGGAGCTTCCTTAGGCCGCTCAGGCCAAGTGCGCCAGTCATACCTCTCACAAGCCCCTACGACAGGATAGGGCCTACACGAGGCACAACTTACCTCCACCTTACGGGAGCTGTCACCTCCCTTCGGTGGGCGTATCCCCGCCGAGCTACCAGTCCACAGTCCGAAAGTTAATCAGTTGCAATCGCAGAGGTGGACCAGTCGAGGGCGTTTCTCGTTCGTTGTAGCATAGGGGGTACGCGCGGTAATACGCCTATCGGGCCCGCACGCGAACTGACATCTTGGGGGGCTGAAGTCCCAAGCGCGGTCCGACGTCGGTCGACTAGGACGCATCCCGCACACCACCCGCACACCACTTTACGAACACAAAAATAAAACACACACACACATACACATGAAACGACACAACACAAACAACACGACAACGCTCCTAGCCCCTCGGTAGCCATCCCATAACTCTCCGATGCGGAAATCAGGTAGGCGTCGCGCGCGAGACTTGGTATAAAACCGCGCGGACGCAGGGCTAACTCATGTCGACTCGCAATGCAAGCGTACACAAGCGGTCGCAGTGATGGCGTACTATATAGTACCCATACTCACGCGGTCCCCCCCGTTAATCTTGAGGGTCGCATTCGACACTCAAGTGTCGGCTGACACGCGCCTTGAGGGTTAATCTCTCGACGCTGGACAACCGCCATGCGCGGTTGAAGACCACACACCCTCTTCTGCACTCTGTGCACAGTGGGTGGTACACAGGTCCATACCTGTGGTGGCAGTCGCTTCCTACTGCCCTGGGGAAAGTCCTACTCTAGGCCTAGGCAAAAGTCTAGGGGTTTGATTTTGACGGTTGCCACGGACTACAACGTCCAACCATAGAAACTCTAAAAAGCAAAGGATAACAGAGGGCTTTCCTTTCTCTCAAGCCATAGTCCGGTTAACCCTTATGCACAAATACAGTAGGTCTCTCAAATACTCAGGGTACTCGTAAACATATGAGGGTTAGTTATATAGGACGATCACTTCTCACAGTCACAGTGAGGCTCCTCTTAGCCATATATGTATGTAATCGCAGGCAGTCACATCCAAAGTCTGAACCACAAACGCACCGGCAATCACATCAAAGATTCAACCAAGAATCCACGCACTACCCGGGATCAACTTCAATCATTCTCTGCGCTCATACCCCTCGCTGCAGCCATACAAGCCTCACTCCTTCAACTCTTAAATAAGTACTCATTACTTTTGTTGGATGACCATTCAATAATGTCCGGGTGAAAACACAACAAAACAGTTCAATCACAAGGCTAAAGCCTTTAGGTTGAGTGGCAGGAGTGAATTGGAGTTGGATCGTAAACTGACGAATCGGCAACCGACCTGTTATCAGTGATAACAGAAGATGATCCTCGTAGGATCAAGCTGAAACTAGTCCAAGGCCTGAATCGAATGTCCAAGAAAGACCTGTACCATAAGATAGACCAATGTAAAGGCTAAACCTATAAGTCCATGGAGAGCAATCTCCATATCATGATCTTACCCAAATCACTCTAGTTAACCATATCTAAGCCTACCTCTAAGCAAATGTCCAAAGAAAGTTAGACCCATGGCAAAATCTCCCCTGGTCAGAGTGGATCGTCAGAATCACCACCTGTTCAACTTATAATCTAACTCCTCTACATCAAGAAAATTTTGGCAGCGCTTCCCGTAGAAAAAATGCCCTTTCAGAATTTATATCAGTCCGAATATAAAAACATAAATAATCTCTAACTCTAGAAAGTCAACTTTTTTGTCTAACTCCCTGAATTAGTAAAAATTTGGGCAACATTCACTTTAGAAAGGAATATTTCCCAGATTTATACTAAGTCAGATATGAACTATTTAACTAGCGCCTTAGT